TGTTTTTATATTTGTTTGCTTCAGAATCTATCTTGAGCTTGATTCCACCAATGACCGTAAGACAGATCAAATTCCTGATAACATGATGCTTATATTTTGATGTTGTTGTTGTTGTTGTTGTTGTTGTTATGTGCCATAGAGTCATCTGCAACTCATAGCGACACAATGTACAATAGCTCTGAACTCTGCACTGTTCTGAGCCAGACTGACTGTCTCTGACACACCATCCCCCACTATTCCAGTTACTGCTATCAATCAATCTCATCCAAAGTCTTCCTCTCCTGTTTGGTCCCTGCACCCACCCAAACATGATGTCCTTCTCCAAGGATTGGTTCCTCCTTCCCACATGCCCAAAGCATGTGACATGCAGCTTCAAATCTTTGCTTCCAAGGAGCAGCCTGGTATCACCCTCTCCAGGATGAGCCTGTCTGTTTTCTCAGCAGTCTAAGGTATGTTCAATAATGTTCTCCAGAACAACTCAAAGGCATCAATTCTTCTTCTGTCATCTTTGGTCATTGTCCAGCTCTATGATGTATTCCAAGTAATTGCAATGACCATGGCCTAAGTCAGGTGTACCTTAGTCTCCAGACTAACATCACTACTCTTCAGCACTTTTGAGAGGTCTCTGACAGCAGCCTTTCCTAGAGCAATTAATCTTTTGATTTCTTGACTGTTGGTACCAAGAGTGTTAATTGTGGAGCAGAGAAAACGGAAATTGTCAACAACCTCAATCTCTTCTTCATCTCTCACGGTGCTGCCAACTGGTCCAGTAATGAGAATCTTTGTCTTCTTGATGTTGAGCTTCAATCCATACTGAAAACTGCAGTCTTTACTTTCTGAGGCAAATGCTTCAGGTCCTCCTCAGTGTCTGCAAGCAAGGCTATGTCATCTGCATAACATAGGCTGCTGATGTTTCTTCCTCCAATCCCTCGTTATAAAGCCCAGATTCTCAAATGATCTGTTCTGCACATATATTGAAAATGTATGGAGACAGGATGCATCCTGGATACACTCCTTTTCTGATTTTGAGCCAAGAGGTCATTGCAAAGACAGAGAGGAAGACAAAACTGAGATGAATGTCAGAAGAGACTCTGAATACTGCACTAAAGGGCTGAGAAGCGAAACCAAA